TGTATGTATGTATGTATGTATGTATGTATGTATGTATGTATGTATGTATGTATGTGTGTGTGTGTGTGTGTGTGTGTGTGTGTGTGTGTATGTATGTATGTATGTATTTATGTATGTATTTATGTATGTATGTATGTATAAATTGGCATATTACGTTCTAAGCACTATCCCAGATAGCATTTTTTTCAGGAGAGAGAATTAAACTGTTTCATTCTTTTAACAAGTAACTGTATTGTGTATCTTTTCTTGTCTTTTCCAATATTTAGAGGTTGGATTTCGAAAAAAGATTTATCGGGCACAAGCAACTGATATCACAGTTTATGAAACTATTTTTTATTCACAACTTTGGGTCAAATTTATCTAAACAGCTGGACGACGTACGTTTTTCTAACACTCTTTTTTCTCTTTCAGAGTTTCTGTGTTTGTTGTTGTTTTTCTCCTCCACCCATCAAAATTGAGGGACTGCTTTAAGGGATTGTCCCATCTTTCTTTTTTCATTTGTTTCGCAGGTCCATACAGTTTTTCAGTCAGCCTGAGAGATGTAAGTCATACTGTTTCCCTTCAGTGCCTAGTTCCTAGTGGCTCCTGCAGTCCTACAGAACATGCTCTGTTGTTTGGTTATTTATTTTTCCAGTGAGAGACAGATCTTGTTCAACGACTTAGTGTCGATTTAAGTGTCCCTTTGCTCATGCTGATATGTATTGCACAGTTTCTGCTGCTGTTGTTGGGGTTTAGCCACCATAATTGAGTAGCATGCTGTGTTTTACTTCTACATATGTGCAGTATTCTTAAACTTGTGTCCGTCCCCACCAAAGCTGAACCAGAAAAAAGGGAGGGGGCCGAGAGAGAGAGAGAGAGAGAGAGAGAGAGAGAGAGAGAGAGAGAGAGAGAGAGAGAGAGAGAGAGAGAGATCAGCCAAAATCATCTTAAAACACACAGTTCCACATGCTTTACCCCTTGATTCCGATTCCTATCACTGTCATGGGGTCTACAGTATTTAGGACATTCAAGGTTTTGAGTAATTAAATCGATCCTCATCATTATTATCAAGTGCCAGATCTGCGACAGACATCGGCCATCACAATTCCTTCCTTTGCTCTGGTGCTCTAAAAAAAAAAGCCGTACTATCCTTATCGTTCCCCGTCACCAATTCGTTTAGGCTCTCCTAGTAAGTTGCTCTGTGTCGTTTGCCTTCAATTTTACCAGTGTCCCAGAAACTACACATTATGTTTCTTCCTTTTTTTTTTATCAACGAGCGTCCCACAAGGGTCTCATCAAGTACCACCTCAGTCGATATGTTTTCCTTTCAAATTTTTTAAAACATTTCTGTTGTTTCTATTTTATTTTCAATGTCTATAGTGATAGTAATCAAATCGATACCATGCCGAAAGCACAATCGGTCAGATCCGTCATGCGTGTCACGTGGCTTTGGGGAGAGACTTAAAAATTCGCCTTGGGGATATCTTTGGATGGTAGACCCAATTTAGCAAGTAGACTTGTAGATCATTTAAATCGTTGATGTGGAAAAACGCTAGCTCCTAATGCTATTTTGGTTCCTTGCGTTTTGTTTATTTTGTTGTTGTTGTTTTTTTGTTTTTTTGCTTGCTTGTTGCATTTGTTGTTGTTGTTGTTTTTTAGGGAGTGCATTTTATTGTTTTGTTTTTATTGGGGGTGGGGGGGGGGTCGTGAGGAGGGGGGTGAATTGTGTGTGGTACGGTGATGGGAGGGAGTGGGGGTGGGGGAGGTTAGAGGGTTCTTTTATTGTTCTTGTTGAGTTTGGGGGGAGGGTGGGGGTGTTTTTTGTTGTTTTGTTATTGTTGTTGTATTGTTTGTTTGTTTGTTTGTTTGTTTTTTTGGTTGGGTTTTTTGGGGAGGTTACTGGTTTTCTTTGGGGGGATGGAGTAGGGATAGTCTTCAAGAAGGAGATTTCGCTGTTTAAATAACTTTATAGAGTTAAACATGAGTCTGGCACCCATATGTTACCATATCGAAGGCTGTATCAAAGCTAAATACAGGCATGTGTGTCTTATTTTGGGGTCTTTTGTAAATTGATTAGAATTCGTGCATGGTGTATTTCTGAATGTTGATGAGCATGTCTCTTGAGTAGTTTCTTTTTACGTCATCAACGACGCACGTTGGTAATTCAACAGCTGTCTTTTGAGACACTATAAAAGGAGCATGACTTTCTAATTCGCACAGGTTTTTCCATTCTGTTTGCTCTTATAGAAACGGAAGGCAGGCATTTTCTTTTACTGAAACAGATAACAAGCATGAACATGTTCTACGGTCGGCAGGGGTAATAATAATACAATATAAAGTGCATATAGCTTGCTATCGAGCGGGGATATGCGCTATACGATTATTATTATTATTATTATTATTATTATTATTATTATTATTATTATTATTATTATTATTATCATTATTATTGTTGTTGTTCTTGTTGTTATTTTTATTATTATTATTATTATTATTATTAAATATACAAAGTCCTGTTTTTTATTTTAGTATGATGGGACGAAATGCACTGCAAAATTGCCTGCTGCTAACCAGACACATGCTATGTCCTTCAAGCGTTAAAGAAAAGGCGACATCGGAAGCCGAAGGACTTTGTGACATACAATTTTCTGAAAGCGATTTTCTTTTCTTTTTTTGGTGGGGGGTGGGGGAAGATGTCTAATCACGTTCATAAAAGAAAAGAAAAAAGGCAACAAGGGTTTCATTTCTGTTTAATTAATCCTATCTCATCGTTCTCAACGATTCACGACCCGATTGCAAGTAGAAGCGACCTCTTCAAGCATCATTCCTCAGCAAATGTGTCTTGTGATGTCACAAAAAGATGGAGATATTTCTTCTTACGCCGTCACTTCTACTTGACCCACTCGGACCCTGCTCGCCCTTCATGACGTAATCTCATTCTCGGTGGCGTCCGACAGATCTACATGGTCCACGTCACGGCCGAACCGTCCACCTCCGATACCGTAATCCCCGTAGCTTCTCTTCCCGAACCTGCCACCGCCCAGACCGTAATCGTAAGACCACGCCCCCTGTCGCTTGTTTACCACGCCAGTCGCCGGCCTCTGTCCGAGATACCCCTTGGCCGCTGACACTTCGTCTGGTATGACGTCAGCTGTGACCTCAGTTTCTGGGAAGCTGGACACTCTGGGACCTTCCCATGCCTCTTGTGCATGCGCCTGTGCTGACCCCTCGCTATTCTGGCGTGCTCGCTCAATGTTCTTCAGTTTCCCCAGCAGAGTCACCAGATGACTCAGGTCCTCTCGTCTGCTGTTAGTCGGAAGGGCAGACGCAGCACATGCGCAGAGAACGAGAATGACGACGCTGAGAAGTTGGGGTTCCATGACTGTGCAGGAGTGTTTTTGGCAGGAGGGACGAAAGTTACAATTTGCAGTTCAGAGAAACTTTTCTTTCGCTCTAAAGTCGTTCGTTGCAAGGGCCTCAATATTCTTCTTCCTGGTCTTTCAATTCACTGGTTCAATCTGTGGGACAAACAAGAATTATGATCAGGAATAGCTTTACAAGAATACGGAATAAATGAATTATAAATGTGTACATGGATATTCTACTTTGATGTTTTTGTACCGTATTTTATCGTTTCTTATCAGACTTGCTTAACACGTAGAGCCGTCGATGTATTCGCACCGAGTATTGAAAATATTAATGTTGATTAGCCATCTATTCTTTTTTAATCTTGTAATAATATAAAATGATGGTGAAGAATGTTAGATGTTTGCTGCAGTATATTTGCAATTGTGGGTCATCACAGGTGGGCTTTGCCCATTCCTCATCATCATCATCATCATCATCATCATCATCATCAATGCCTTTCACCCCTGGCAGGGTATAGGCCAAATAAAAGCTCCTTCCATTTATCTCTGTCCTAGGCCATCCTTCCAAGCTCGTTCCAAGTGAGCTTCATCTCTCTCATGTCCCTTTCCACACATCTCCTACATGTTTCCCGTGGACTATCCCTGCCTCGTGCCTCGTGCTCTCTGTGGATTCCACTGCGGCGACTGTCTTGGGATGTTTCCGCTAGGTTTTCGTAAATCCGTGGCCACTTTCTTAGTTCTATTTCTACCTCTATATCCCTTTATCTGGTCCTTTCCCACAGCTCTTCATTTCTGATTCTATCCTGCCTCTTAATTCTTAGGATACTACTGATGCTCCATGTTAATAGGAGTTTCATGTATATAATACATACATAGACACCAACAGGTCATTCAGAGCCACTGGGTTTTGAGAGAATGTAGAGGGGAGGGGCAAAAGTAAAAATAGGGATTGAAGAATGAAACTGGCAAAGACGAGATTCTAAAGTAAACACCACACTTCTTTTGAGAGCAGATGGTCCTGTAGGCTAATCCTTTTCATAGAAGATTCACCCCTTGTTTTGTTTTTTATTTTGGTTACCACGTGACCCCTCTGCTGTACTGGCCTGAGGATAAACGGGAAGAGGGGGTTAAAGAGAAAACGTTTTTTGATATTTCTGCTGTTGATGCTGTTGTTGTTGTTTTTGTAGTTGTTGTTGTTTTTGTAGTTGTTGTTGTTTTATTGTTGCTACAGATGCTGCTATTTGTTTGTTTTTTGCTGCTACTGTTTTCTTTACGCATTCGGTTGGATGGCAGAACGCATATTGTGCCGATGTGCTTCTTTTTACTTAAATTCAAGCTCAAAACTGTTTTATTCTCTGTTGTTGTGTTTGTTGTTGTTGTTTGTGAGGTTGTTGTTTTGTTGTTGCTGATGTTGTTGTTGTTGTGGTTGTTGTTGTTGTTGTTGTTGTTGTTGTTGTTTTCAAAATGTCTTTGGGCACGTGTCTTTTTGCCCACCGTCAGGTTGTAGAAAGGGAAGGGGAACAAAAAAAAGGAAGACATCTTATATTTTCCTTGGCATCAAAAAGAACATGATGACATTCGAGTCTGGCGGTTTTATCACAGAACGGGTCACCATTATATCACAGAGAGGTAAAATCTCTGCGTGATCAATCCAATGTCTGCAGACGAGACGCAAGAACGTCTCTAAGTTGAACCACAAATTTGGCCAATTCCCTGGTCGCCCCCTCCCATGAGCCCGCGTGTGTTCAGGAAGCCATTACTGCGCCTGCGCGGATGTCCCACGTGGTACCGGTTTGTAATAGGGCTCCACCTAGCGACAAAGATAACATGGGCGTTGTCTTAGCCTCCACCGCTTTCATCCCCCTCTCCCCTTATTTTTCTTGTTTGTCGTGCTTGGGAGGGTCCTGTGTGATTATTATGAATATCTGGGACATGCTGTTGTTGTTTGTTTGTTTGTTTGTTTGTTTGTTTCCCTGTTTCTCTGTTTCTCTGTTTCTTTCTTTATTTATTTATTTATTTTAGAAAGAGTTTTACAGCACTTGCAACACAAATAGGTTATATAAGTGCCAAAGATTCGAGCTGATACTAGATAGTAGCCTACAATTTAAAAAAGGAGGAGAGATGCGGACGTGACACGAAAGAAAGCGCAAACCACCCCAGAGCACATGCCAACCACCCACATATCTCGGACATGCAAACTGTAAACCCGAATGTCTTGAAAATTGAAAATAATGTCAGTAGTTGGTTTTTTTTTTATTTGTTCGTTATTCGGAAATCTGTTCGGATTTTCTATTGAGGGGGTAAGAGATTTTCTATTGGGGGGTAAGAGATTTTCTATTGAGGGGATGAGAGAAAAAGGCAAATTGAAGGAACGCGACACACCATGGAAAGAGGGTGGTTGTGGTGTTGGGTACGTGACCTATTAACAGAAAAAGCGTAACAGATTGAAAGGGGGGAGGCGATAAAGCCCTCAAACAGAGGAGAAAAACTGAGGTGTAAAGAGAGAGGGGGGAGAGGGAAAGAGAGAGAGGGGGAGAGAGCTGGATGAATTGCACTAGATTCATTTGAAGGAGAAAGAGAGAGAGGGGGGGGAGATAGATAGAGAGAGAGAGAGAGAGAGAGAGAGAGAGAGAGAGCAGAGAGACAGGCAAACAGTGACAGAGAGAGGAGTGCGTGAGACAATGGTAGAATAATAATGTGTACGTGTGTATTTGAGTGATTGTGTATGTGTGGGGGGGGTGCCGTTTGTACGTATGTGTGTGTTTGCGTGTGTATGTGTGTATGTGTGTGTGTGCATGCGCGCGCGCGTGTACGTGAGAGACAGAGTGAGAGAGAGAGAGAG